AGGTAGAGGTGATGAGTCTCTGTGGGTTCAAGGACAGCTTGGTCTACATAGTGAGCTCTAAGTAGGGCTCACATAGGGCTACACATCGAGGCTTTGTCTTAAAAAGCAAACAAAAACTCTCTGCGATTATCCTGAATTTCAGGTCTAAGATCATAGCTTAGTAGGTCCTGCAAGTAGTAGGACCAGAGTTCAATACCCAGTGCCCACATTTTAGAAGACAGACACAGTGGTGACATGCTGTTGTAGTTACAAGAGTTGGGGAGGTAGAAATAGGCATATCCCTGGGGCTCACTTGTAAGCTAGCCTAGCCTACTTCTTGAGCTTCGGGCCAGTGAGAAATCCTGTCTCTAAATAAAGTGAATGACATTCCTGAGGAATGATACCTGAGGTTGTCATCTTGCCTTTACACGTATACACACATGGGCAATGCTCCCATCTACAAATACACATACATGTTTGCATGTGCGTGCGTCCACACACACACACACACACACACACACACACACACACACACGCACGCACACACACACGCACGGACACGCACGCACGGACACACACACGGACACACGGACACGGACACCTGAACAGTGTCTTACAGTCTGAAGGACACTGAGGATAAGCTTGTCACTGCAGATTTCCCCCTTCTCCTACCACTGCTCCCTGCTTGCTCTCTCCTCCCTGCCAGTCAGACAGGCAGGAGAGAGAGGAAGACACACTCTCCCTTGTTAGTAGTAGCTATCCATTCTTGGATATGAAAGGGGTAATGCAGGCGTTAAATCATTAGACCTGGTCCAACCTCTTTACACCTTATGCAGTCAAGTAGCTAAGAGGCACTTTTCTGTGTCTTATCTGTGGCATGTACTGTGCAACCATTCACCTGTGGCCTTTGTTAATGCTGATGACTAAGGCTAGATATTACATCTCAGAGAGACTTGATCTCAGTGTCCAGCCGCTCCATGTTACGATAAATCCTTCCGCCAAAAGCCGCTGAGCCCCACTGCCACGTGTAAGCTTTTCGCCAGCCGCCCGCCTGAGTTAGGGCC